AAATAAATTGATTTACCACCTTACAAGAAGTTTGAAAGTCCACTGGAAATGTTTTTTAACAGACAGTGTGTTTTAACCCAAGACTTTACCCTTTTAGAGCTCAAGAAAAATATTCAACCATAATTACAAAGTCACAAACCCTCACGACCCAAGTCCATAGACATGATTCATAAATCACAAAATAAAGATGGATTTTTATATTATTGAACATTAAAGAGGATATTTTGTTGTTGACTGAGGGATCGAGTCTCTGAACTGTTTTAAACCATGAAAAACACTGAAGCAGCAGTAAAAGGATCCAGAACTCTCCTATTTGGACATTAAATGTAGAACTTTCCTTTTTCTTTTCAACATTCAACGAACCTGCAATACTGGAACAAAACAGTCTGTACAACTGCATCTACAAGTATTTAAGATTTCATTCAGACTAAACCAGGACTAAACCAGGACTAAACCAGGATTAAACCAGGATTAAACCAGGTCTAAACCAGGATTAAACCAGGATTAAACCAGGATTAAACCAGGTCTAAACCAGGATTAAACCAGGACTAAACCAGGACTAAACCAGGATTAAACCAGGACTAAACCAGGACTAAACCAGGACCAGGACTAAACCAGGACTAAACCAGGACTAAACCAGGATTAAACCAGGACTAAACCAGGATTAAACCAGGACTAAACCAGGTCTAAACCAGGTCTAAACCAGGTCTAAACCTTCATCATTCGTTACATTACATAATATTCCTGTATTTAAACTGGTTGTGTTTCTTTGTCATGTTCGGCCGTAGGATCCAGGCGTCCAGGTCCAGGTCCAGGTCCTCACAGCCTGTTTGTGTTCAGTCTGTTTTTCAGTTTGTTTTGTTGGGCCTGTGTAAAAACGACCACATGGACATTCAAGTCTGTACACGACAGACGTGTACGGAGTAAGAAGCTGTCAAAAATATTCGTGCGCATAAAATAGAAATCCGTGCATATTTGGCTGTAGTTGTGCATAAAATAAATATTTGTAAACTCTCAAATGAGTCCAGTCGTACATAAAATATATTGTGTGTATTTTATCCATCAGAATACGAATTGAAAAATTACAACGTCATGAATTACAATCACCAAATGAAAATTTACGATTACACTTTCATCAGTACGAAAACGAATTCACAGACGGACTTCCTTCAGCTGCATTTCTCGCATGAAATGCCACCAAAAGTTCCTCTTTACGCTGAAATGTCCCAGTTTACACCAAACACGACCAAACTGTCCTGGTTACAGACGTCACAGCCAATGAAATGTTCCACATTACAGTTTAATGCAGCTTCAGCATCAATTAATGTTCATGTTTACAGGCAACACCTTGGTATGTTTACAGTATTTACCGTAAGTTTAACGTCACCGTGACGTGGATGGATTTGCTCATTATAACCCATTATAACTCATGTATAACCATATAACATGTAAACCCATATATAAACTCATGTATAACCCATTATAACACATGTATAACCCATTATAACTCATGTATAACCCATTATAACTCATGTATAACCCATTATAACTCATGTATAACCCATTATAACTCATGTATAACCCATTATAACTCATGTATATTAACCCATTAAACTCATGTATAACCATTATAACTCATGTATAACCCATTATAACTCATGTATAACCCATTATGAACTCATGTATAACCCATTATAACTCATGTATAACCATGTATAACCCATTATAACTCATGTATAACCCATTATAACCATTATAACATCATGTAAACCCATTATAACTCATGTATAACCCATTATAACTCATGTATAACCCATTAGAACTCATGAAAAACCCATTGTCTGAAATGCAGCTGAAGGTTCAGACTGACTGATGCTCGCTGTGGCTGGAGTCGTGAATGTTTTAATCTAAACACACAGAGAACCTGATATTTGTTAATCAGCCCTGGGAGAACGTTACGTCTGATGTTTCCAACTGGCTCCACTATGTTTTCTAACATATAGGTGCAGTTTCCCGTTCAGAGGAGGTGTTTCTACACAATATTATACAGCAGCGTTCGGTTCCCGAATTCAAGACATTTTTACAATAGATTTGAATGAACCCACTTGTTGTTCTGTTGTAGCTTCTTGTGCTTTTACTCTGTTTTTACTCTGATACAAACTTGAGCTGCTCAGTCTTGATCTTGATCGATGTTTCTTCTGCTCGATGAATAATGTCTGTGAAGTGATGACGTATTTTTGACAGTAAAATTTCGTCTGTGAATTCGTATTCGTACTGATGAAAGTGTAATCGTAAATTTTCATTTCGTGATTATAATTCATGACGTAATTTTTCAATTCGTATTCTGATGGATAAAATACACACAATATATTTTATGTACGACTGGACTCATTTGAGAGTTTACAAATATTTATTTTATGCACAACTACAGACAAATATGAACGGATTTCTATTTTATGCGCACGAATATTTTTGACAGCTTCTTACTCCATAGAAGTGCTGTTACAATGAATGAATGTTCTAATATCAAAACTTTGACCTGAGTGAACGTCCATGAACGAGTGAGTCTGTTGTTCACAACAGGTTCAGTTCCCACATGTGGAGCAGATTTAGTGTCCAACCGTGTCTTTTGTTTGGATGGAGGGAGAGAAGTGTTCACCAGCCTGAGGCACTGAGCGTTGGGGCTTTTCTACAGCTGCTGGTGAGCGTCTCTCTGGACACTGACACTTCTTCATATACTCCAGTTCTGTTTGATGATTTGTTTGATTCGGTTTGCTTCAGTGCCACATTCAGTTACAAAATACACTTGATTAGGACTCACATTTTTCTTTGGTTTCTGAGTCTGTGTTCTTCTCTATTAAGACTTTTGGCTCGATTGTAAACTGAAGACAAAGTCCTGTCTGTGCAGCCTCTGGTTTTGAATCGACAGCTCATATCTTGAGCATTTTTTTCAAAGTTAGATTCAGTGTCACAAATCCGCCGTAGTGTTTGAAACTGACCATAAGGGACATTCTGAAGTAACCGCGGGGGTGGAAGCTCTCTGCTTTTAAAATTGTATTTTGATCAGTTACTTTTCTGAAAATTGTGCTCTGTAAATCCCCATCAAGGTCCTTATAAATATTTAAATCTAAGAAATGTATTTCTGATAAGGAGAAGTCAAGGCTGAGTTTAATATTAACATTTGTATTATTCAAGAAAGAGTCAAACTGTAACAGTTAATCTGTTTGGATCTTTTGTTGAGTCTTGAGTTTTTGGTCAAAATTAAAGAGCAGAAGAATAATAATAAAAAAAAAAATATATATATATTTTTAACAAAAACAATATATCTGAAAACATTAGAACATCATATTATAGGTTTTTTGAAAGATCTGGACCTTCCCCACGTCACCGTGGGGTCACTGGTGACTGGTGACACTGACGCGCACAAATGTACTCGAGTAAAGAAACAAAAGACTTGGTCAGTATTAGAATTCAAACATTTATTGAGGACAAACACACATTTGCATAAAACAATTAAAAACATTTAGTGCAAAATTAAAATGTAAAACGAGAAAAACCCGCTTTAAATGTCACTGAAGGCAGGAAACAGAGCCACCCTTTCAAAATAAGAGCTGTCGTCAGAAAAAGGCAGAAATTTCAGAATCATTTGAGAATAAAATATTATATTTAGTGTGAAATCATAAAAAAGTGACAACAGTGCAAAAATGAGACCAGTTTAAACCAGAACTAAACCAGGACTAAACCAGGACTAAACCAGGACTAAACCAGAACTAAACCAGGACTAAACCAGGACTAAACCAGGACTAAACCAGGACTAAACCAGAACTAAACCAGAACTAAACCAGGACTAAATTATAACACAAACAGTTTTAAACCCTGATCAAAACAATGAGAAATAATCATATTCAAGCAACAGTTAAATATATCTCTTGGAAAGTTCCCAAATCACAAATTCAAACCCAAAATTGTAAAAAAAAAATAAAAAGGTAATCCTCAGAGCTCACTCCAGTGTTTCTGACCAAACGTTTTGTAGAACTGAATAAAAACAAGAATTTAATTTGAATAAATATTTTTAAACATTATGTTATTACAAATGAGCCGACAGCGCTCGCCAACGACAGAAACCAGGTCTAAACCAGGTCTAAACCAGGTCTAAACCAGGTCTAAACCAGGACTAAACCAGGACTAAACCAGGTCTAAACCAGGACTAAACCAGGACTAAACCAGGTCTAAACCAGGACTAAACTAAACCAGGTCTAAACCAGGACTAAACCAGGTCTAAACCAGGACTAAACCAGGTCTAAACCAGGACTAAACCAGGTCATTGTGAAGCTGGGACATTTTCTTTTCTCTTTAACCCTGAATATTTTTGTTTAAATGCTTTTCACAAACACAAACGTTCAACGTCTCTGAGCGACGCTTCAGTTTTTAAGAGTCAGACTCAAGTTCCCTTTGACTTTTTATGAAATATTACAATTGTGTGATTAAACCAACGGAAATATTTACAGGAAAACACCACGGACGCCGAGCGAGGGGGGGGCCGCGTCACACTCGCACACGAGGGGCCGCGTCACACTCGCACACGAGGGGCCGCGTCACACTCGCACACGAGGGGCCGCGTCACACTCGCACACGAGGGGCCGCGTCACACTCGCACACGAGGGGCCGCGTCACGTTCAGATCCTCTAGAAAATATGCGACGCTTTGAATGCTACAAGTTTGGATCAGTGCAAGAAACTCAGAGGTTGAACCAGGACTAAACCAGGACTAAACCAGGACTGAACCAGGTCTAAACCAGGTCTAAACCAGGTCTAAACCAGGTCTAAACCAGGTCTAAACCAGGACTAAACCAGGACTAAACCAGGACTAAACCAGGACTGAACCAGGACTGAACCAGGACTAAAACCAGGTCTAACCAGGTCTAAACCAGGTCTAAACCAGGTCTGAACCAGGTCTAAACCAGGTCTAAACCAGGTCTAAACCAGGTCTAAACCAGGTCTAAACCAGGACTAAACCAGGTCTAAACCAGGACTAAACCAGGTCTAAACCAGGTCTAAACCAGGACTAAACCAGGACTAAACCAGGACTAAACCAGGACTGAACCAGGTCTAAACCAGGTCTAAACCAGGTCTGAACCGTGATGTGAGGTCCGAGTGTGCCCCCTGCTGCCTCCTCTGAGTTCTGCACTCTTTGCTACCGTTTTGGAAATGGAGGTTTGAGAAAGACTTTGGTTCAGATTCTCACAAAAACACCACGAAAAGACAAACGCTGAATAAATCTGTGATAATAAACGTGTGAAAACGTGTGAAAATGTGTGAAGCGCAGGTGGACACACGAGTCGTGTTCAAAGCACCGTCAGAGTCCAGGACCAGGACCAGGACCAGGACCAGGACCAGGACCAGGACCAGGTCTCTGTGAGGATCTGAGGTTTAAACGCAGGACGTCTGACACAGAGAAAACATGACCCAAAAAAAATATTAAACCAGGACTAAACCAGGACTAAAAATAACCAGGGATTAACTAGGACTGAACCAAGATTAAACAAAGACTGAACCAGATTAAACCAAGTCAAAAACCAGGTCTAAATCAGGTTTTAAGTAAGTCTAAACCCAGATCTAAATTGGGTCTAACCCAGGTCTAAACCAAGTCAAAAAAACAGGTCTGAAACAGGTTTAAACCAGGTCTAAATCAGGACTAAACCAGGTCTAAACCAGGTCTAAACCAGGTCTAAACCAGGTCTAAACCAGGACTAAACCAGGTCTAAACCAGGTCTAAACCAGGTCTAAACCAGGACTAAACCAGGTCTAAACCAGGTCCAGATCTCTTGTGGAAACACAGTCGCTCTGTAAAAGTTCCACACAAACGTCCGTCCATTTAAATCTCATAAAATCACATTGACGTGGTTTATTTATGATGAAAAGTCTTCAGGAAAATTCTGGAAAAAAAAAAAATCTAAATGAAAAATTCCCAAATCAAACAAATATTTTCTTTTTGTCCAGTTTCCCAAAAGTTGAACGACGACTGTGATTATCTGTGTCTCTTCTTCATCGTCAAACTCGCAGCAAAAATGTGGAACTAAAATCTTCTTGGATGTAGAAAAACTTGGTGCATTTTTCTTTTCTTTTTTTTGAGTTAAAAAAGTTAAAGTAAATTCCAGAAACTCGTCCCGACGTCTTCACTTCTTAAAAATGTGAGAATGTTTAGAGTCTGTTTTTTGCACTTTTTACTGTTTTTTTTTGTTGTTGTTGTTGAGGTTCAGAAACGTGCAACTGTCGCTCCTTTAGTCCTGGATTTTGGACAAGTCCAGGGAAACTTCTGAGGAGATTATGTAGTGGGACTAAACCAGATCTAAACCAGGTCTAAACCAGGTCTAAACCAGATCTAAACCAGATCTAAACCAGGTCTAAACCAGGTCTAAACCAGGTCTAAACCAGGTCTAAACCAGGTCTAAACCAGGTCTAAACCAGGTCTAAACCAGGTCTAAAATCTTGTTTTTGTGATTGGGCTCAGATATAGTTTTAAATGCTCTATGTGATAAAAGTCCATCCATCTTGGCTCATTTCTAAACCAGGTCTAATCCAGGACTAATCCAGGACTAAACCAGGACTAAACCAGGACTAAACCAGGACTAACCCAGGACTAACCAGGACTAACCCAGGACTAAACCAGGTCTTGACTCTTGATTTGTTGTTTATTTTTAGTGTTTTTTTTTTGCAAAGATTCTCCGGTTTCCGAGCTGATTCACAATAGTTTTCATGAAGTCAGAAGCACCTCCACCTCACCTCAGTCCTGACCCAGGTCCAGACCGGGTCCAGACCGGGTCCAGAGCCGGTCTAAAGCTGGTCTTGGTGGGTCTGTTCTCATAGCTGGTGCACGATGCTGTCTGTGTGGTTGGCTCCGTCTTGTCTCAGCCGTTGCCACTGGAAGTGAGTGCTCAGAGACCCCATCTCGTCCTCTTCACTCTCCTGCTCCTTCGCAAACTCCAGGAACACCTCAAAACAACAAACATTTAAATACAGAATGTGGGACTGAACCAGGACTAAAACAGGACTAAAACAGGACTAAAACAGGACTAAAACAGGACTAAACCAGGTCCAGATTCAGGAAAAGTTCTGCTCTGTTCTGTCAGTGAGACTTTTTTGGATCGATACCTGAGAAAAATGAGGATCTAGTTTCGATATCAGTTTTAGTATCGATCTGATCTAAGGATGTGATTCTCGATACTTTGATACTTTGATACTTTGATACTTGTGACGGTTCTGGACAATGGTTCATAAACAGTTGTGGTTTTACCTGCTCCAGCGTCGACTGGGAGAAGTTGTACTCCTCAAAGTTAAACGACTGTTTGGCTGAAAACAGAAACACGACGTTCAGTCACATTTGTGAAGTTACACACTGAGAACACAAACAAGAAAACACTCTGTTCCACCTTGTGATGTCATCATGTGGTGATACAGGAAGTGCTCCACTGTGTTTTTAAACTCCATCTGGATCATTTCAGTGGTGGAGTTGTCGATCTCTACTGAACTAAATCTGATCTGAACTAAAAGTAAAAGGAGCTGTTCACTTGGAAACTACCACTTCATGACATCACAAGGTGGAGCAGAGCGTTTGGAGCTTTGTAGATGAAACAGACTCATAATAAAGAGTTACTCAAACACAGTGTGTGACCAGGAACATTAGAGTCAGTTTTGTGTAAAACGTCTCACACAAAGACTCACTGGTCACGTTTACATGATGTTTCTTAATTCTGAATTAATTGTTCTAAATTAAATAGTTCTGAATTAAAATATTCTCCCTCCAGTTTACATAGAAATAATCATTCTGAATTGAGGTTTGCACAGAAAACTCGTTAAATCTCCTTGATTTAAGGGAGCGCAGCAACGGATTTACATCGACTGGAAAAACACAGACTTCAGCTGCTCCTGGACACAAACACAATCTAAACCAGGACTGAACACAAACCACAAACAGGATCCAGGAACCAAAGTCATTCAACTTTAAAATCAGAAGAAACCAAACACTTACTTCACAGTTACGTTAGGAAGTGTTCACATGGACTTTTTAAAGTCAAATTCATTTTTACTGAGAGTTAAATCTGTCATGTAAACGTGGCAGTTGGTCTGTATTTATTGTACTTTACAGTCGTGTGGACTCACCTTTCTCGAGTTCGGAAAAGGCCGTGGACAGAGACTTCACGTCCTCCATGGGGATTTTATAAACCATCAGCGTCGCAAAACTGAAGAGAAACATTAAAACCTGTGACTGTTTGATTTAAACATACAGCTGCATCTGCTGCACCTACATGATATTAGACAAAAAGCCCACAGATGATCACTCCTGCAGGAAACTTGACAAATACACATTTCTAAATAGGAACAACACAATCAAATGTGCAGATTTAATTTTGGTACAAAGTTTTTAATCATCTTCCTCCACCTCCTCTGAAGAAGTTTGTAAAAAGAAATTCAAATCTCACAAGATCAGAGAACGAGAACTTTAAACACTGCAGCATTTTCTAAAACTTTAAAACAGACGTTCAGGACAAACATGTCGCCACGTTTAAACAAATAACACGTTTTATACTGGGGTCGATGCTGTTGGTTGAACTCAGACTCCTGACCTGGAACTTCAAGTGTGTGTACAGTGTGTGTGTACAGTGTGTGTGTACAGTGTGTGTGTGTGTGTACAGTGTGTGTGTGTGTGTGTACAGTGTGTGTGTGTGTACAGTGTGTGTGTACAGTGTGTGTGTACAGTGTGTGTACAGTGTGTGTGTACAGTGTGTGTGTACAGTGTGTGTGTACAGTGTGTGTGTACAGTGTGTGTGTACAGTGTGTACAGTGTGTGTGTACAGTGTGTGTGTACAGTGTGTGTGTACAGTGTGTACAGTGTGTGTACAGTGTGTGTGTACAGTGTGTGTGTACAGTGTGGTGTGTGTGTGTACAGTGTGTGTGTGTGTGTGTACAGTGTGTGTGTACAGTGTGTGTGTACAGTGTGACAGTGTGTGTGTGTGTGTACAGTGTGTGTACAGTGTGTGTGTTACAGTGTGTGTGTGTGTGACAGTGTGTGTGTGTGTGTGTACAGTGTGTGTGTGTGTGTGTACAGTGTGTGTGTACAGTGTGTGTGTACAGTGTGTGTACAGTGTGTGTGTGTGTACAGTGTGTGTGTGTACAGTGTGTGTACAGTGTGTGTGTACAGTGTGTGTGTGTGTACAGTGTGTGTACAGTGTGTGTGTGTACAGTGTGTGTGTACAGTGTGTGTGTACAGTGTGTGTACAGTGTGTGTGTGTGTGTGTGTGTACAGTGTGTGTGTGTGTACAGTGTGTGTGTGTGTGTGTACAGTGTGTGTGTGTACAGTGTGTGTGTACAGTGTGTGTGTACAGTGTGTGTACAGTGTGTGTACAGTGTGTGTACAGTGTACAGTGTGTGTACAGTGTGTGTGTGTGTACAGTGTGTGACAGTGTGTGTACATGTGTGTGTGTGTACAGTGTGTGTGTGTGTGTGTACAGTGTGTGTGTGTACAGTGTGTGTACAGTGTGTGTGTACAGTGTGTGTGTGTACAGTGTGTGTGTGTGTACAGTGTGTGTGTACAGTGTGTGTACAGTGTGTGTGTGTACAGTGTGTGTGTACAGTGTGTGTGTGTACAGTGTGTGTGTGTGTGTACAGTGTGTGTGTGTGTGTGTGTACAGTGTGTGTGTACAGTGTGTGTGTGTGTGTGTACAGTGTGTGTGTACAGTGTGTGTGTGTACAGTGTGTGTACAGTGTGTGTGTGTACAGTGTGTGTGTGTACAGTGTGTGTGTACAGTGTGTGTACAGTGTGTGTGTACAGTGTGTGTTAGTGTGTGTACAGTGACAGTGTGTACAGTGACAGTGTGTGTGTGTGACAGTGAGTGTGTACAGTGACAGTGTGTGTACAGTGACAGTGTGTACAGTGTGTGTACAGTGTGTGTGAGTGTGTGTGTGTACAGTGTGTACAGTGTGTACAGTGTGTGTACAGTGTGTGTACAGTGACAGTGTGTGTGTACAGTGTGTACAGTGAGTGTGTACAGTGAGTGTGTACAGTGTGTGTGTACAGTGTGTGTGTACAGTGTGTGTACAGTGTGTGTGTACATGTGTGTACAGTGTGTACAGTGAGTGTGTACAGTGTGTGTGTACAGTGTGTGTACAGTGAGTGTGTACAGTGTACAGAAACAAAGGGACAGTGTCAGCATCACCTCCAGTCTCTCGCTCTAAAACCTTCAAATCAGGCAAGAAATCTCGGGGTAATAATGGACTCAGACTTGAACTTTAACAGTCACATAAAATCAATAACATCTGCAGCCTTTTACCATCTAAAAAACATAGCAAAAATCAAAGGTTTACTGTCTAAATCAGACTTGGAGAAACTTATCCATGCATTTGTCTCCAGTAGATTAGATACTGTAATGTTCTGCTCACTGGTCTCTCCAAACGAGCTGTGAGACACTGCAGAACATCCAGAACATCCAGAACATCCACAACATCCACAACATCCAGAACATCCACAACATCCACAACATCCAGAACATCCAGAACATCCACAACATCCAGAACATCCAGAACATCCAGAACATCCAGAACATCCAGAACATCCACAACATCCAGAACATCCACAACATCCAGAACATCCAGAACATCCAGAACATCCAGAACATCCAGAACATCCACAACATCCAAACATCCACAACATCCAGAACGCTGCAGCTCGGGTCCTGACTCGAACTAGGAAGTACGAGCACATAAGTCCTGGTCTCAGGTCTCTGCTCTGGCTCCTGTGGCTCAGAGACTTTAAAGCGTCTCTGTTTGTACAAGTGTCTCCATGGCCGAGCACCAAAGTCCATCTGTGACATGTTAGTGTCATATGAACATCTCACACTCTGAGGAGCTCAGGGACCAACTCCTGCTGGTGCCAGAGTCACGACTAAACAAGGGGAGTCAGAGTTTCAGGTTCATGCAGCTAAAACCTGGAACAGTCTGAACATGTGAGACAGACTCTTCTGTGACGCTGTTTAAATCCAGACTCTAAACATTTCTGTTTAACTGTGCAAATAACTGAAAGGTTTTCATTCCGCACTCTTCTCTCCAATTTATGTCTCTCTTTTTTAATTTTAATCTTCATGATTATTTATGTTTTGATTTGTTTTTATTATGATTTTAATGTATTTCTTATTCTGTAAAGCACTTTGAATGACTTTGTGTACGAATTGTGCTGTACAAATAAACTTGCCTTCCCTTGCCTTACAGTGTGTGTACAGTGTGTGTGTACAGTGTGTGTACAGTGTGTGTACAGTGTGTGTACAGTGTGTGTGTACAGTGTGTGTACAGTGTGTGTGTACAGTGTGTGTGTACAGTGTGTGTGTAGTGTGTGTGTACAGTGTGTGTACAGTGTGTGTGTAGTGTGTGTGTACAGTGTGTGTACGTGTGTGTGTGTGTGTGTGTGTACAGTGTGTGTGTACAGTGTGTGTGTACAGTGTGTGTACAGTACAGTGTGTGTGTGTGTACAGTGTGTGTGTGTGTGTACAGTGTGTGTACAGTGTGTGTACAGTGTGTGTACAGTGTGTACAGTGTGTACAGTGTGTGTACAGTGTGTACAGTGTGTGTACAGTGTGTGTGTGTGTGTGTACAGTGTGTGTGTGTGTGTGTACAGTGTGTGTGTGTGTGTGTACAGTGTGTGTACAGTGTGTGTACACAGTGTGTGTGTGTGTACAGTGTGTGTACAGTGTGTGTACAGTGTGTGTACAGTGTGTGTACAGTGTGTGTACAGTGTGTGTACAGTGACAGTGTGTGTACAGTGTGTGTACAGTACAGTGTGTGTACAGTGTGTGTACAGTGTGTGTACAGTGTGTGTACAGTCAGTGTGTGTACAGTGTGTGTACAGTGTGTGTGTGTGTGTACAGTGTGTGTACAGTGTATAGTGTGTGTACAGTGTGTGTACAGTGTGTGTACAGTGTGTACAGTGTGTGTGTACAGTGTGTGTACAGTGTGTGTACAGTGTGTGTACAGTGTGTGTGTACAGTGTGTGTACAGTGTGTGTGTACAGTGTGTGTACAGTGTGTGTGTACAGTGTGTGTACAGTGTGTGTACAGTGTGTGTACAGTGTGTGTGTACAGTGTGTGTACAGTGTGTGTGTACAGTGTGTGTGTGTGTGTGTACAGTGTGTGTACAGTACAGTGTGTGTGTGTACAGTGTGTGTGTGTGTGTACAGTGTGTGTGTACAGTGTGTGTGTGTACAGTGTGTGTACAGTGTGTGTGTGTACAGTGTGTGTACAGTGTGTGTACAGTGTGTGTGTGTGTACAGTGTGTGTACAGTGTGTGTACAGTGTGTGTACAGTGTGTGTACAGTGTGTGTGTGTGTGTGTGTACAGTGTGTGTGTGTACAGTGTGTGTACAGTGTGTGTGTACAGTGTGTGTGTGTGTACAGTGTGTGTGTACAGTGTGTGTGTACAGTGTGTGTGTGTGTGTACAGTGTGTGTGTACAGTGTGTGTGTGTGTGTACAGTGTGTGTGTGTACAGTGTGTGTGTGTGTGTGTACAGTGTGTGTGTACAGTGTGTGTGTGTACAGTGTGTGTGTGTACAGTGTGTGTGTACAGTGTGTGTGTGTGACAGTGTGTGTACAGTGTGTGTGTGTGTGTGTGTACAGTGTGTGTGTGTACAGTGTGTGTGTGTGTGTACAGTGTGTACAGTGTGTGTACAGTGTGTGTGTGTACAGTGTGTGTGTACAGTGTGTGTGTACAGTGTGTGTGTGTACAGTGTGTGTGTACAGTGTGTGTGTTGTATGTAGAGTGTGTGTACAGTGTGTGTGTGTGTGTGTACAGTGTGTGTGTGTGTACAGTGTGTGTACAGTGTGTGTACAGTACAGTGTGTGTGTACAGTGTGTGTGTACTGTGTGTGTACAGTGAATGTAGTTGTTGTATGTAGAGTGTGTGTAGAGTGTGTGTACAGTGTGTGTACAGTGTGTGACAGTGTGTGTGTGTGTGTGTGTACAGTGTGTGTGTACTGTGTGTGTACAGTGAATGTAGTTGTTGTATGTAGAGTGTGTGTAGAGTGTGTGTACAGTGAGTGTGTTGGTGTTGTGTACTTTTGTGTGTTGTTGTACTTTTGGGACTGAGCAGAGGCGTGTGTGTACCTCTCCTGTCGGGCGGCGTGGGGGAAGATCCTCAGTATCTCTTTGTGTAACAGCGCCACCTGCTGGAGCCCGGTCAGGTCGTCTCTGAGCTTCACCTCCAGACTGTAGCCGCGCCCAAACTTCCCCTTCAAGTGCTGGATCGACCCGATGCACCTGAGCGACACACGGGGAGAGACGACACTGAGGTTTAGACTAAAAATAATTGAATCAGATTTATAAATGGTGATGGTGAGATACTGTTGAAGCCACAGCTGCCCCGGGACAGACCAGGACCAACACACTCACACACTCCACATTCAAATCTTTATCTTTGACTTATTCTCAGTTGTGTTTTGATTTGACTGGACTTGACTCCTGCGTGTCTGTGTAATCCCGTCTTGTTCTGCATTTGAGGCTTGACTGTTTTAAATTTCTGTTTCCATCTACCCCCTATCCCCGCCCCCTGCTCTGTGTTTACTGCAGTTCTTTGACAAATAATCTATTTTTTATTCTAAAAGATTGTCCTTAATTATCAGTAAAACAAAATGTGTGGTATTTAGTTCTAGGGAAAAAAGTCAGTGCCACATTATTTACTGGAGATGAGGAAACAGAGCGGGAGCATGAGTTCAAGTTTTTGTGTAACATCAGGCAAAAGAATTATTAAATTAGAGTGTTTTGTCTTTGTTGTATCATTCATCGATTGTTCCATATTTGATCTGTTGTATTAAAGTTTGGGGAAGTGTTTGTAAAACTTGTGTTAAACCAGTTTTCCTTTTACAGAAAAGAGCTGTAAGAATCATCAGCAGAAGTGGAGACAAACTCAACAAACCCAAGATTTACACAATTAAAGATTCTGACGCACTGGTAGAACTTCATATTTAAAAAAAAAAGATGTACAAAGCAAATCAGCAGATCCTGCTCACAAATCTCCAAAGAAAACTGACAAAGAGAGAAAATCATTATAATATGAAAGGAACTGAAATCTTTAAAAGAACAACACTGGAAAAAAGTGTTTCAATTAAAGGTGTGAGTCTAAATGAAAAACACAAAACTTCAAAATGAATTCAAGTGTTTAAAAGAAACGTCAAACATGATGTGGTAAAAAAACCTGTCCTTTTGTGTGAATGAACAAGTGTTTAATCTTGTGTCTGTCACGTAAATGTAGTTGGAACTGTTTTATTTTGAGTGAAAAGAGGCAGATCTTACAAATCTAAACTTGTTTCTGCTCCTTTTCATTCACATTGATGCAAGAAACATAATTATTTTGTTTTCATCTTTCATGAATGAAACAAACAAAAAAAAACTATATAAGTATAAATATATATAGAAACAGGTGGAGTTTAAAAATGTCACACAGACACTTTTCCAGAGTTGTAAAACGAGACAGAGTTGTGTCGTACCTGAGTTGTCCGGACACCATGATGGCGACTCGGTCACACACGGCCTCGGCCTCCTCCATGTAGTGAGTGGTGAGAACAGCTCCTCTCTGACGCCCCCTAAAGGCCGCTCGGATCGCACGCCTACAAACACAAACATTTAAATATAAACTCGTCTTTTACCCATGAGCTCCTCTAATGACGAGAATGAAGAGAAAAATAATAAAATAAAAAGTATAACTGACCACATCCTCTGTTTGGATTTGGGGTCCATCCCTGATGACGGTTCATCTAAAAGAACAATCTGAGGGTTTCCCAGCATGCTCAGAGCAAAACACAACTGAACAGAGAGAGAGGGAGAGGGAGGGAGAGAGAGAGAAAGAGGAGAGGGGGAGAGAAGAAAAGAGAAAGGGAGGGAAAGGGAGAAAGAGAAAAAGAGAGAAAAAGGGGAGAGAGAGAGAGGGATAGTGAGAGGGAGGAAATGGGAGAGAGAGGGAGAGACAGAAGAGGTGAAACATATGAAGTTATTCTAAAGAGTATTTTATTTATTTTGTATTGAATAAAATCAGATTGAAGCTTCACATCAGACTGTGTAGAACATCATGGTGTGTGTGTGTTTCAGTCTTGTACCTTCCTCTTGGTTCCTGCAGACAGAGTCTTGGCCTGTTTGTGCAGATGATCCTTCAGCTCCAGAGCCTCCACCACCCTGAACAAACACAGAGAAACTGTTACAGCCTGAACAAACACAACACGAAAGAGAGGAAGTAAAGAAGAAAAACTTTAAACAAATAAAAAAAATCAAATACAGCAGCAGATTTAAAATGTAAAAACCACTTTAACAGTTTAAATAAATACATTGGTTAACTTCACTCCTCTTCTCTTTGTCTGTGATCAGTGTGATTATAAATGTGCCTCTGCGCTCAGATTTGTATTTTTTTGTTTTTTGTATGGATTCCCGTTGTCCCGGAGCGTCCCGGAGCGTCCCGGAGCGTCCCGGAGCGTCCCGGAGCGTCCCGGAGCGTCCCGGAGCGTCCCGGTGCGTCCCGTCCCGGCGCGTCCCGGCGCGTCCCGGAGCGTCCCGGAGCGTCCCGGAGCGTCCCGGAGCGCGTCCCGGCGCGTCCCGGAGCGTCCCGGAGCGTCCCGGAGCGTCCCGGCGCGTCCCGGAGCGTCCCGGCGCGTCCCGGAGCGTCCCGGAGCGTCCCGGCGCGTCCCGGCGCGTCCCGGCGCGTCCCGGCGCGTCCCGGAGCGTCCCGGAGCGTCCCGGCGCGTCCCGGTGCGTGTTGTTACCGTTTGGTGATCCCGGGCACGTCCTCTCCTCTGATGCCCTTCACCGCGGCGTAGATCTCCAGATGTTCCTGCAGAGTGACTCTGGGCCACAGAGGACTGAGCTGAGGACAGTACCCCACATGGTCCACAGGGGGCGGCCCCAACACCACCTGACACACAAACACAACTGAAAGTGAGTTTGTGTGTTACTTGCTTTTGTCTGTAGGTGGAGGTTGTGGGTCAGATTCCTCACCTGTCCTGTGGTGGGGTCTGTGTCTCCTGATAACATGTGCATGATGGTGGTTTTTCCAGCTCCATTTGGACCCAACAAACCCAGAACTTCACCTGAAACACAACAACTGTTTTAAAATATGCCTCAAAAACATCTAAATACAGAAAATAAAAACTAATTTGAACCTTTTTTGACGCAGAATGAGACGTTTTTGGTGGCGACTTTTCTGTTTTTGCTGAAGGAGAATCCCTCTCTCTTTCCTTTGTAGATCTTCCTCACGTTGCTCACGACCACTACAGGCTTCTGCACACAGTTTCACTTTCAGTTTCAGTGAGTCACTTTCACCTTTTAGTGTAAAATCAAACTCCTAAACAGAACCATGAACACAGGCTGATCACAAGCTCCTCAAAATGTGCTCTTTAAATCACTTTTCTATTTTTTCTTGAGTTTTTTATCATTTATTTGTTTGTTTATTTCTTTCATAAAGTATAAAAAGACATTAACAGTGTCATAACATTAAACATACAAGACAAAATGAATGAAAAGGAGCAGAAAGAAGAGTCCCTCTTGTGTTTTCTGCCCTTTTTCCAGACACATTCACACTGAGAGTCACTTTAAAACTTTTCATCAGTACATTTCATTTCAGACACAATTATGAATCAGTTACAAACACAGATCTTCACTTTTATCTACAACATCTTAAGGCCTGTTCATATTTCAGAAGAACATAAGAGCTGTTCTTGTTCTGGAGATGACAACAACAAAGTTCCACCACAGACATACACATACATGTATATATCAGTGTAAAGTACCAGTAAGAGCAGAGAGTTTGTACCTCTTCACAGGGCTGACAGTTCAGAGCCTCCTTCACTCGGACTCTCTCCATTTTCACGTCTTCGTCCTCGTTCTCCGTCTCCTCTGGGATTCGCTCCTGCCGCGACTTCGACTTCGACGAAATCCTGAAACAAAAAAATAAACTCTTGAACAGGCTGAAGACAAGTCTATCTAATGAAGTTAAATCTGTTTTGCCGCAGTACAGACGAGTTGTAAAATCAGACAGAGCAGACGTCTCATTTTGACTCCAATTATAAAGTTCTGTGTGCCGTTAGCATGCTAGTAGTTGTTAGTATCACTGTGAAAGTAAAACTTAACTGCACAGGATCTACAACAGAGCATGAAACCCGATCAAAGTCTGACGGGATAAATATTTGGCACTTATGTTTGGGCTCAGGTTGGACTCGTACACATGATGGCATCAGCTGTTTCCTGTCACTCGCTCTGAGACTCTCAAGCGTCAAAGATCAGACTCTGCACTTCTAGTTTAGATCCAAGTCCAAAATGTGTGATTATTATTTGTGAAATGTGGAGCAAAACTTCAGATCCAGGATTTTTTAAGAATAAAAGATTGGAGATAAAGTCCACAGGAACACCTCGATCCGTGCACTGTATGGGTGTAAAAAGACACACGTGAGGAACTACTCTCACCTTTTTACTTTTAAAGAACGACTCGAACCCGATTCACAGCGCGGTTCTGTGGACTCATTATTCTCTGGATAATGTGGATGAGACGCTGCACTTTAACTTTACCACTTTACCAGAGATGACGAATAAAGTCTAATCATGAGTTTGTATTTTGAGTCTCTGTTTCCGTTAGAGGAACAAACCATATCCTCCGTGTGTCATAATAATATAAATAGTGTGATTTTAATTGCGTCGGGTTCAGTCAGAGTCGGACACAAATATTTTATTCCTATCAGACTCTTGTTGGATTCGATCACTGCTCTGTCGAACACAGGAAAAAAACTGTAATCTACAACAGAGAAAGACCAGGACTGAGCCAGGATTAAACCAGGACTGAACCAGGACTGAACCAGGATTAAACCAGGATTAAACCAGGATTAAACCAGGACTGAACCAGGACTGAGTGGGTTTGTGATCTCTCTTAAAGATGTAAAAAGCTTTTCTAAACTCATGGTGGTGAGTAATGAGGAAGGTGAGAGGAAGAACTTTGGACCACTGCAAACTGAACTGAAAGAACTAGATCTGTTTTTAAGGTTTTTAAGGCAGAAGAAATAAGAACATCCTCTTTAACTATGTGCCCAGAATCGGCATTAGCACAGCCATAACACCCCCAAACCTGCAGAGTTGGTCCGACTTCAGGGTGCTGCCTCCGAAACTGATCTCCATCCAGCGCAGGAGAAACAGCAGCACGATGCACTGAAGGTACGGCTGAACACAACAACATTCACACTTTTATTTATTTACTTAAAAATGAAATGAAATGAGAGTGGTGACTGAGGGTGAGGGACGTACGGCGATCACAGCGATCAGCAGGTTTTTCCATAAGAAGTTGTCTTCGTTCAGAGACGACAGAAACGTGGCCTGGAACAGAAACAGAGGAGAGAGCTGCCGTTTAAACGCTCTGTACGTGAATAAACATTATGTCTTAAGCTCTATTCACACAGGATCAGTTTGACCTGTGGACCTTTGGTGATTTGTAATAATGGGGGAGGAGCCTGAGATCTTAATCCTGTGAGTAAAAATTCCACCACAAATGTCAGACTATATTTGGCCAAACGCAGACGTCCGGTGATAACACTCGTCCTGTGCGAATCTGCATCTCGGGGTTTGTTGTTGTAATTGCGCCTTTTCTCTTTTGTCTCTTTCTTTTCTTTCTGCGTTCTTTTCTCTTTCAATCTAAGTCTACGTTCAGACTGCAGGGCTTAATGCTCAATTCCGATTTTTTTGTGAAATCCGATGTTTTTTCGAGGTCGTTCACATTTCCAGTTAAATGTGACTTGTGTGTGACTCCAGTGTGAACATTAAACGGTCCAAAAGTGTCCCACATGTGACACTGGAGACACGACGACGTCACACACAGCGAGCGTCTCTGTGTTTACACAAGTTGAACAAACATGGACGCAGCATCGAGCACCTGGAGATTTTAAAGTTCCTCTCGTACCGGAGCCACAACATGAACAACTGACTTGTTTTAAGGAGGAGATTGAGAAGGAGAAGGAGCAGGTTTTTGGTGGTGGTGTTTTGTGGTGAGTGGAGATGTGCTTCACTTCAGTCACATGGATCATGAACAGTTTTCTCTACTTCAGTGCAGAATAGTGACGTTTGTGTCTTGTTGATGACGTGTAGGTGGATGAATGTGACCTGACTGTTCACACTCAAGTCACATGTTAAAGATCAGATATGGATCAGTTTCAGGAGCACATATCCAAGTGTCCTGGTCACATGTTGAAAACATCACATCTGTGTGGTTCAGACGTCATTAAAAGATCAGATACAGGAACATAGGGGCCAAAAAATCAGATTTGGGAACTTCAGGTGCAGACTGAACGTAGACTAAGTCAATGTCAGTGAAATTAAGGAATTCACTAATTTTGCTGATCCTGTGTGAATGTGCTGCAAGTAACACAGAGGTGGGGCAGTAATCTGCAAATTACCAAACGACTTATCCTGTGTGAATCGGGTTTAAGAGTAGATATGTGTAGAATAAATGAAAGTGTCTGATACCGTCTTTGCATTTCAATTAACCCTAAAGCATCGAAGTGTGACGCCACATTTTGTAAAACTTAGTTACTTACAGATAATTTAAAAATCTTCACATGTTGTAGTGTTGTTATTCTGTTATTTAACTGTTGTCATTCTGCTAAAAGTTCAGATTTTTCAACTCTGGTGTTCAAATGCGTCACGGCAAATGCTTGAAATATTCACTGGAGCCTAAACACGTATCCCTTGTAGACTTTGCCTCTGAGATTACAGTTTGACCACAGCTCAAAAGTAGATTCTGTGCCCAAACTCTAAAGCCCCTGAAACTGTGCTGCGTTTGTCCAGTGTGAGAGCAGAACATCTGTGTCCAGGAACATTAAGGTTTACCCTGAGACAGAGAGGAGGAGGGGCCAAAGCACACGGGTCAGGTACCAGCCGCAGACATAACTGTATAAAAATGTGAACTAAGCGAGTGTGACGTCTCCACAGCGTCAAATGAAGCTCACGCTGCTGAAGGTCACAGGAGTGAATCTGAAGTCAGGCTCTATATTATGAAAAGGATTTTCTGGATGAACTAAACAGAAACAAATCTGTGTCGCAGATTAATACAAACATTTAAGACCAAAATGTCGAGGCCACAGCAGCAGGAACAGAGAGGAGCCATTATAATCCAATGTAAATCAAAGGAGCCAGATCTGATGGAGCCAGAAGAGCCACCATGCTCACTTCCTGTTTGGAACACGGCGTGTTAGCTCTGTTCATTGATATAAACAGTCTGAGGCGCGAGACAAAAACCCTCAACAGCAGAAGGACTTTGGTGATGGGACTGTGCTGTATAATAAAAGTGAAAACACACACAGACGGCCCATGTCCAAAAACACTTTTTTATTTTTAAATCACGTTTCAGAAAAAAAGCTTTCTTCAGATATTTTTCTTGCTTTGGACCAGAGTACAACAACTGCACTGTATGACTGTAGTAATAGTAATAATACTGCAGTAATAGTAGTATCGTGAGCAGTACCTTGGTGATGGAGATGTAGTGTATAGTTGTAGTAGTACTACAGTAATAGTAGTAGTATTCTGTGCAGTACCTTGGTGATGGAGTTGTGTAGTTGTAGTAGTAGTACTGCAGTAACAGTAGTACTGCAGTACTAGTAGTATCTTACCTTGGTGATGGAGTTGTATTCTATAACTGGCAACTGGCCAAAATTAAGCCTATTTTGTCAATGGAACATTTTGAAACTGTCATACATGTGTTTGTGACAAATAGGTTGGATCACTGTGATGCACTTTATGTTGGTGTCAACCAAAATGCACTTTCCCGGTTGCAACGGGTCCAAAACTCAGCGGCTCGACTTTTAACTGAAACCCGGAAACACAAGAGCGTCTCACCTGTTTTAGCTTCTCTCCATTGGCTCCCAGTGTCTTTTAGAGTTGATTTTAAAATTGTTTTATTCACTTTTAAGTGTTTGCACGGCCCAGCTCCTCCTACCTCACTGACTTGATCCACCCTCACGTTCCCTCTCCTCTCGCACTCTCAGGTCTGTAGACCAACTCCAGCTCGCCGTCCCAAAAGCTAAACGTAAACTTTGTGGGGACCGTGCGTTTTCTGTTTCTGCCCCTCGGCTCTGGAACCAGCTGCCGTTAGTGATTAGAGGCCGAGTCTGTACCTGTTTTTAAATCAGTCTTAAAAACGTATCTTTTTTCACTGGCTTTTAATAAGCGACATGTATTTTGCTGTTTTTTATGTTTTGAATGGAAGTATTGCATGTGTATCATATATTTTCTTCTATTGTGTGTCCTGTGTTTGTGTGCAGCACTTTGGCCGACTGTAAAGTTTTTAAAGTGCTTTATAAATAAAGTTGGTATGGTATAACTGTTGTAGTAGTACTGCAGTAACAGTAGTACTGCAGTACTAGTAGTATGTTACCTTGGTGATGGAGTTGAGGCAGCCCATGAGCGGGTACAGGGGGTTGAACAGACACAGGACGTTGTGGAGGTTTCTGGTCAGAGCCGGACTGTCGTTCACAAACGTCAACTGCACCAGAGACGCCGACACCACACACACCTGAGAGGTCAAAGGTCACAGGTCAGACAGTAACACCACACACACCTGAGAGGTCAAAGGTCACAGGTCACAGGTCAGACAGTAACACCACACACACCTGAGAGGTCAAAGGTCACAGGTCACAGGTCAGACAGTAACACCACACACACCTGAGAGGTCAAAGGTCACAGGTCAGACAGCAACACCACACACACCTGAGAGGTCAAAGGACACAGGTCAGACAGTAACACCACACACACCTGAGAGGTCAAAGGTCACAGGTCACAGGTCAGACAGTAACACCACACACACCTGAGAGGTCAAAGGTCAAAGGTCACAGGTCAGACAGTAACACCACACAGAGCAGAGACGGGCAGGTGTTGCACAGACAGGTGAGGGAGCAGAGACGGCAGGTGTTACAGACAGGTGAGGGAGCAGAGACGGCAGGTGTTACAGACAGGTGAGGGAGCAGAGACGGCAGGTGTTACAGACAGGTGAGGGAGCAGAGACGGCAGGTGTTACAGACAGGTGAGGGAGCAGAGACGGCAGGTGTTACAGACAGGTGAGGGAGCAGAGACGGCAGGTGTTACAGACAGGTGAGGGAGCAGAGACGGCAGGTGTTACAGACAGCAGGAGAGGAGCAGAGACGGCAGGTGTTACAGACAGGTGAGGGAGCAGAGACGGCAGGTGTTACAGACAGGTGAGGGAGCAGAGACGGCAGGTGTTACAGACAGGTGAGGGAGCAGAGACGGCAGGTGTTACAGACAGGTGAGGGAGCAGAGACGGCAGGTGTTACAGACAGGTGAGGGAGCAGAGACGGCAGGTGTTACAGACAGGTGAGGGAGCAGAGACGGCAGGTGTTACAGACAGGTGAGGGAGCAGAGACGGCAGGTGTTACAGACAGGTGAGGGAGCAGAGACGGCAGGTGTTGCAGACAGGTGAGGGAGCAGAGACGGCAGGTGTTACAGACAGGTGAGGGAGCAGAGACGGCAGGTGTTACAGACAGGTGAGGGAGCAGGTGCGTGTGGCGTCTCAGAAGCTGCAGCTGAATCTGATCTGAGTCTCACCATCATGGAGATGACGGAGAAAAAGTCTCTGTTGCTCTGAACTCGAGCGAAAACAAATGACACCACGTACGTGAAGAGGATCATGGCCGGACCGAAGCCGATGATGCACAAGATCTACAACAGAGAAAGACCGGGACTGAACCAGGACCGAATCAGAACCGAACCAGGACTGAATCTCGTCTAAACCAGGTCTAATGCAGGACTAAGTCTATAACAGTGGAAAAGCAGGAATGAACCAAGACTAAACCCAGTCTAAACCAGGACTCTAAACCAGGACTCTAAACCAGGACTCTAAACCAGGACTCTAAACCAGGACTCTAAACCAGGACTCCTCTAAACCGGGTCTAAACCCAGACTCTAACCCCGGGGTACACGCACCACGGCGGTGACGTTGCTGGAGCTGAGCAGGGAGTTGGTGTGGAAGCTGAAGAGGATGGAGGTCATGGAGGAGAGCAGGAGGTAGAAGAAGGGGATGTCCACGGCGGCCTGACCGCACCAGTACGCCGACGGCAGCAGACCCGAGATACGCAGCGTCGACCGGCATTTAATCTGGAACAAAACGGGCAAAAGGTGTTTAATCCGGAACAAACTTTAACATCAGAAAAACACAAAGAGCAAAGAGCGAAGTGTGAACCTAAACGTGTTTGAGCCTCACCTCTCGGTCCCGGGTGTGGTCCATGGCGAAGTACGCGGGCATCCCGGCCGCCAACATGCCCAGGATAATGGCCTCGATATAAACCAGCGCGTACGACGTGGCATCTGGGATTTTCTACAACGAAATACAAATGAAAAAGTGACTATTTAT